TGATAGTATTAATAGTATTAATAGTATAGTATTAATAGTACTAATAGTACTAATAGTATTAATAGTACTAATGGTATTGATAGTGGTAATAGTGGTTTCAGTAAATAGTAGTAATAATAGTAATAGTAGTATTAGTGACTCCAAAGGGACATATACCCCTGCCGGCTTTGTGACATGGCTCCGTTAATATGGAATCGGAATCTGGCAGAAGCCTCAAGTTTAGCTGCTGCAGTTCCTGGAATCCGGAGTCTCGGAATTCTGGCCAAAGCCTGCAGCTCTCGAATACCAGAGCCTGTGGCTTCTTGCCAAAAGGCCATTGCTTCATAGCTTTCTCAAAAGTAAGGCTTCTAATCGGGATCCCCACCCCCGGAGGAGTTCGTGATTGTCACCCCTATTATTATTGCGATCCGCAGGGCTCGTAAGGGATACCCTTACCGGCTTTGTGAAGTGGCTCCGTTTATATAGAATCGGAATCAAGGAGAAGCCTCAAGTTTCGCTCCTGCAGTTCCTGGACTCCGGAGTCTGTAGCTTCTTGCCAAAGCCTGCAGCTCTCGAATACCAGGGTCCTCTTAGTCTCAGCTTTTGCTAGTTGCTTAGCCTGGCCACCTATTGTAGGCGGGGAGTATTCTTATTGTCACCCCTTAAATTATTCCGACCTGCCTGAACGACGCCGAAGGCTAGGCTCAGTTGTAAAACTAATCCGAAAACCTATGCAGCACCCGAAGCGGTTTCAAGGACCATGCGGCTATTGGTGAACGCAACTTACCTTCCAGGTCAGACACCTGCGAAGCTATGCTCACTACAACCTGGAAGCGATCCGGAAGATTGCAAAAAAGCAGCCTAAATGAGCTCAGGCAATTGTTTCGCCCTGAGAATGTTTAGGATTGGCATGCCTGCAGCTTAGGGTCTAGGGCTGCCCTGCTTGCTTGCTTTCGGATAGGCCGTTGCGCGGCGAACGGGTTTTGGGGATGGATCTCTGGAATCAGGGTGTGCAGTAGTCCTGACGGCACTGAGTTTGTTCCCTGTCGCGGACTCGAGGTGCCGAGGCTCTCAGGAGTCATCATGGCTTATCTCTTGCAGGTGAATTGTAGTCAACAGCTCATCCCACATGTTAAGCAACTCGAGTCTAGGCTGTAGGGTGTGTCTGAAACTTAATTAGTTACCGTAGACTACTGGTACACTAGTAGATCAAGGTGAGGTTTTATCCAAGTTTTCAGCGCGCTTCCCTTCGGATGTTGATTCGCACGCTCCCTGGCAGTCTCCTCTCACACTTCGTTCGCCCAAGCCTTTGGAGGCCTGTAAAGCCTCGAAGCTCGTAACAGTTTTTGATGTCTTTGTCAATCCTCATAAACCCAAGGCTTGGCCGACTTCTGCAGCTTCTTATCAGATGAATGGTTTCGGGGTGGTGTTGGGTTCCAGCGCTTTAGATAAGCCGCTGAGCCCCTAAAACCCAAATTCATTTCCAAATCTGACACCCTACAACCCTGAACCCGAATCTTAACCCCCTAACAGCCTCAAACCTCAAACTTCTGAACCCACATTATCTCTTGGCAACCTGAAAGCTGTCGTGTGCAAGGTATGACAAGCGCTGCGGAGTCTCAAAGACCATGCAGGCCAACACAGCCATAAGCCCTATGCCCTTTTGGGTTTAGAACCTGGCTAGGGGGCTCAGGGCCTCGAGCTCTTCGTTGTTTTGTGTTTAACAGTACGTACCATGAGCCCTAAGATGTAATTGGTTTGTTTCAGTTTGTTGCCCAGACTCGCTCTGAATTGCTCTGAATTGCCGAGCCTGCAGCCCAAGCCATAGACTATGTAATCCAAGACAGCGCAGACTTCAGGTTGTCTCGAAAGCTTAGGGCTTGTTTGGGCCTAGGATTTGAAGTTTAGGGTCTTGGAATCGAGGATGCCTGCTGTCGGTTTTACGGCTGAACATGTACCAGGCTGTCAGGGTCTAAAAGGCTTCAACCCGGTTTACGGCCCAGGGGCCGTCAAAAAGAAATTGGTGTCTTCTGTTCCGCCTGTTCGTTTAAAAACGCCCGAAATGAAAACTCACTCCTTTAAGCTGTATGCCGTGATTTATGACCTGCAGTTGCGGAGTCAGAACATCACCCTACACCTGAGACCATTCATGCCTGGTTTGCTCCCTGTCCTCTGTGCTTAACGGACCCTCCCAAATTCTTCTACTTAAGGCCACCTACACCTAGGGGTCTATCCAACCTAAACCCCCAACAAACCCACCCCAAACCCTAAGCCCTAAGCCCTAAGCCCTTTTTCCAGTTCAGCCCGCCTAGCCCCAAGCCCGCCCCCCGGCCCCGCCAAAAACCATGACATTCTCCTAAACCTTTCAATTCTAGTGAAGCCCACAGAACGCAAGGCCCCTCCTTAACCCTTCTAGTTGCCTACCGAACCCACACCCCGAAACAGATGCGACCCTCAACAAACCCTTCCAGTTAAGCCTTCCGAACGCAACTCCCTCCCCTCCCGCGCCCTCCGAAACAGATGAGGCCCCCAAACCCTAGTTAGGCCGATCGAACCCAAGCCCCGCCCGAAACCCATGAGACAATCGAACCCAAGCCATAGCCATACTTATGCACCGCTCAACCGAGACAGGGGGTCTGGGAAACTAAGAAGTGTCACAAAATTCAAGCCTCCAGATTTTGTTTGGGGGGCCCACCCGTTAAAGACAGTGCAGTATTACAGGGAGGCTTCTGTCATAACATGTGTTTAAATACACCGAAACCTGCAACTACGACCCTGTCAATAGTCCTGTCGCATGGTACTCATACAAACATTTTCTTGGACTGCGTTGATATAGGGACCCAACGTATAGACACGTGGGTCGAAAGCATTGTTGTCTCTTTCCACAGACGGAGTCGCACCCTTCAAGTTGTACAGGGGTTCGATGGTCTCCCGTGTTTTCGGATTCATGATTCGATAAACTCGGAGACAATTGGTGCTTCAGAATCCGTAAGTGCAAAAACTGCTCAGTTCCCACGCCGGGGCTGATCTTTGATACAGGTCGAGGTCTTTATGTTTCAAAGCTTTACTAGGTCTAGGATCAGGCCAATTGCGGCTTTGTCCCTTGTCTTGCTACCGTCCACATCTCGGATCGCGTAAACGCAAATCTGAGAAGTTAGGCTTCGGCTTAAAGGTGTAAGCACTTCAGGGTATTGAGTCCATTCTGTGATGAAAAGCACCTGAGCACTTGTAACCCTAACCGATAATCATCTAAGCCCCCAAAACCCTGGAGACACAAGGCCGACATTATGGAGACCCTGAACGAGTCCTACCTGGCGGACGGCGAAAATCGCTGCTCCCAGATGTTAAAATTGCTGGAGGCAGGTCCTTCGATCTGATGTTCTTCGTTCTCGGATATCTCGACCATAATGCTCCTATACTGGAGGGCTTAGGTTTCTCTGAATGAGGGTCGCGCTACCGGAAAGTCAGACATTGTTTGACCTAATTGCGAGGTGCGCCGACCTGCAAGCAAGGCCACACACCGCGATCCAGATGTTTGTTTCAGTCTCGCAAGTAACGCAGCTTGCGCCGACATCCCTACAGCTGGGCCTTGTACAGGGCTTTCCCTGTGAATGTAGCTCCGGAAACGGTAGGACTGGTAGGAGCCGCAACCCTCTTGATTACAGAACACAACAAACAAACCCTGATCCGTGCGCAACACCAGCAACAGGCCGTTATCCGAAACCGTTGAACGCGATTCTTAAATCCCTGAAAGCTCCAGCTCCAAGCCCCGAAGCACCAAAACCCGCTGCGGCTTGACTGCAGGCTTCGGGGTTGAGATTCCGGGCTGAGGGTTTAGGGTTTAAGTTAAGGTTTGGGGCTGAAGAACTGCTCCAGTGTAGACGCGGCGGGACGTTCGAGGGTTGACTTGCTGGGATGCTAAGAAATCAGCAAGCGACTACAGTAGGTAAAAAGGAGTCGCCCATCTTTTAGAATAAGGGTAGCGCTCTATGCTAAAGAGGCCGAGATGAGAAGGAGAGGGTGGAAGATGGATGGATGGAGGTGAAGAAGGTGGATGGATGTATGAGAGGCATTAACACACATTTACAGTGTTGTATGCATACATGCAGCGCACGACATATAAACGGCTCTGCGCATGTTGCCAAAGCATGAACATGGAGGATCCCGCATTGACGTCTCCGATTCTGAGCAGAAGCGGATCACGGTCGATGTCGGGGGTCCTGGAGTCGGCGCAACCGTTGCTGAGCAACACGTGCCCTGGCGAGGAAGCTTCGGTTTTTTAGGGTGTGATAATTTGGGCGTTTTAGGGTATAGGGGTGCTAATTGAGGCTTTAGGATTCAGGGTCTAGGCGAGTTCTTCGGCCCTTCGCAGGATATCCGATGCTCAGTGGCAACCTCTAGAAATCGGTGTTTCGCGATGTTTGATATCGTGCGACATTAACTATTACTTCGGCTAGTGGTTTCGGAAACTGAATCGTATACACAAGCCATACCACGCTCTTGAATTCATGTCTGTGCCTGGTGTGTATTCTACTTCAAAGTTTACACACATCCAAACCCGAAGCTCTAAAGCTGCAATCCGCAGGGAGGGAGATGAAAGCTCAGGAATCGACGCCATTCCCGGCTTCTGCTGCCGATCTTGGACAAGCATACGCGAGGCTCTTGCCGGTGTCAGGTCCATAGAGTTCGCATGTCTCATCAGTGGATCGAGTCGACGAATCTTCGGACAATCTGTGTGCTCGGTTCATAGAGTGCCCAAAGGTTCCATGTACTTTTGGCTTGTTGTGGCAGGTTTTGGCCCCTCATCAAGGGCTCTTACTGTAGGTATCCTCCCTTGTTCCTGTCCTCTTGAGAACATCGTAGGCCCAGGTTTACCGACGAGGCCTGAGGGCCCAAAACCCTACAAAGCCTCAGTGCCCCAATTGGGCCCAGGTAGGGACCCTAAACCCTAAACCCACAGACAGGGATTAGGGTGTAGGGTTAGCGGCTCAGGGCTGATGTTCAACCTGACAATTTAGATCATGCAGCTTTTGGGTATTCCGTGGTCCTTGGTTTGTTTTTGCCGAAAGCCCCAGGTAAGGTCTTAAACCCGAACCAAGGCACCAACACCTTGAGCCCGAACAACTACAGCCTCTTCATTTTTCGGCCCATGAGCCTTTGGAACCTTCCAGATATTTTCTCTGTGTGTATGTATATATGGACAAATCAAGCAAATGGAGACCTTGAGACCTCAATCCTGGACCCCAAGCTCCAACAAACCCCACCGTCAGGCTCCAACAAACCCCACCGTCAGCATGCGAGCCTGTTTATGACCAGTCTCATAAAGACATATAAAGACCAAACCTTTGACTGACAACCTTCAGAGTACAGGGGTATTGTAGCATGGCCGAAAGTGCGCTGAGTCTCTGCAGCTGGGGTCGACTGAGACAAAGACCCGCAAGGCAACGACAGCCCGACGGATGTGAAAAGATGCTTGGCCTTGAATGTGGATTTGGCATTAGAGGCTTCAGATAGTTAGGGTTCAGGGGTAGAGTTCAGGATTACGGATCGGGCTTTGGGGAAGAGTTTTTTGCTTAGCCCTGCAACCATGAAACCCCGCAATCTATGTACTTCGAAGCCCTGGTCAAAGCAATTTGAGACCAATGAACCCCTTTCCGAAAAAAATACGAAGAGGCCTACAAGGAGCAAAAAAGACAACTGAGCAGATCCCGTTTTGGAGCCACAGAGCCACAGTCTCCTCAAGATGCAACCTCTTGCGCCCAGCTGTGGACCGAGGATTGCCCTCGGGTCTGTACGCCTGGCAACACCCCGTCGAGATCATCTGGGCCGCTTGCTCTTCACATGTTGGGCGTAGGGTTTTGGTCCTTAGAGGAGTGCCACACTTATACCAGCTCTGCGGTGCATCGCATGTCGGAAGAACCATGCCCTGTTTGTTCGATTCCCTTGATTCCCTTATATATTTTCCCGTCAATGCATGCTCTCGGAGTTGCCGTTGCTGCCGTGCTTTCTCCATGTTTCTTACCCGAAGTTGGCACAAATACCTTAAACCCAAGGCCCGCGATCCAAAATGCCAAGAAACATCAGTTGTACATCCTCCCAAGAAAAGGCGACACCGTGCCATGTTTGCGGCCTTCTCGAACTGCACCCTCGCACGTGAAACGCGCGTTTTCCCACGGTTTTGTGTCTGTGCGTGTGTGTGTGTGTGTGTGTGTGTGTGTGTGTGTTTGTGTGTGTGTGTGTCTGTGTGTCCAAACCCCTACTGCCAACCCTGTAAGGGTGCTCAAACCTAAGGGCTGCCATGTTCTTGAGCTTAAGGGTGGGAGGGTTGGGCTTTTAGAGCTCGAAGTCTCGGTTCGTGGCAACAAGTGAGCGAGCTTCCAGGCCGGACGCGTAGGGCATCAAAGCGGCAGACACGACATCCCATGGTTCGAACTCGTCTGAAGCGTGGAAGCTGGATTCGCTGACGATTAGGGATTTGTTTGGGGTTGATGTTCGGACACCGAACATTTTTTAATGATTTCCGACGGTATGACTCCGTGACGCAGTAGGACCGCGAGCAAGATTCACTTGGCAGGGACTTCTAAAGTACACGGTAGTTGAAAGATGCATTTGCCATGGTTTCCTGAAGCAAACTGCAGCCCTGGGAGCTAGCCCAAAATCCAAAAACCTTAACCCGAGATGGCAATCCGAATCAATGGAGGTGAATGTCCAGTCTCCTGAAGCTCTAGTTTTCGTGCCTTGCTTCGCATGTTAGTCTCGGGTTCAGGGTTTAGGATTCTGTCTAACAGCTCTAAACCCTTGAATGTTTTCCGACCCTTTACGCTCAGCGACATTCATCGATGAATCGGTATGCTACAGGTTGTTTTGAGGCGGTTTCGGAGTTTGGTTATTGCGGGGTCCTGGTCAACAGGTCAGCAAAGATCGCGGACAAAGCTATATATGTGAATCTAGAGATTCCTGACTCCTCTAAACTCTGTGGAGCTGCACTGGGGTCACTAGGGTATGCTATACATGAATCCGGGCATTATACATAACCTGGCCAGCATGACCAGTTGTCACAGTGCCTGGGCCAGTTTTGAACGAGTTCACGGATTTCATGACTTAGACGTTGTCTTGCGTCTCCGGCTCCAAGGTTCTTTGAAGCTAGCCCTGATCGCTCCAACCCTCAGTGCCCCAAAACTCCCGCGTGGCTCCATGCTGAAATGCAAACCTTACACGTCCATTTTTCGATAAACCACGTAAATCATGTGTCACCAGTCCCACAAGAGTGGCAATAGATTCAATAGATAGCAATGGTAATCTAAGAGCGCACACCCACGGAGAAAAAATGAGACTGCGCAGAGCTTTCAACAGCGAGGCTTGCTTGGTTGGTTTAGCACTGGCACTTTGGCGACTACATCCCACTACGGAGCTGACGCTGGGAACACATACTCGGTTCTTGAATGCTCGGGCGGATGCAATGAGGGCTGGATATTGTATCACCATTCTATCACCATTCTTTTAGCAGTCATTAAATGATATCCAAACACACGCGTCCTGAAAAGACTCGGTATGACAAGTTCAGGATGTTGGGTCGTACGCACTTGTGGACTTGGGGCTGATGATGGTCCAGCACGGCTCCGAATCCAAGCATCGGAACTCAAACTGCCTAAACCGCAATGAAGCCTCGAGTCCAATCCGTACACCCAAACAGATTTCGTGCGCATGTAAGTGAGTGTGCGTACTGAGGGGTCCACCGAACAGGAAGCTGTGCGCAAGGCTTCGTTTGCGCTGGCTACGGATTTTAATGACATGATAGGGCTTTATGAAGTACCATGCACATGAAAATTAAGACTGGACATATATACAGTATGGTTGCAGTATCATCAAGCCTTGGCTGTACAGACGAAAACAGGGCTGACAACGTACGGCATGGTTGTAGCAACTTAGTAGAACCAATGCAGTAGCAGTAGCAACACTAAACATAGCATCCAACATCTGGATCTTCAACCTCACGCTTCAAAGCCATGCGAGAAATCATGGTCTTGTACATGCCTGAGTTATGTGAGTAATAACTTAACGAACACTGTTACAATAACAACTCTGGGCAACACTGACGCCAGATGCAGAGACACCCAAATACGACTCCGACCTAGAGGCTGAGAAATGGTTCCGGGCCCTACGGCGAATCCCGGAAAGTTGCAACATGGGTTTAGGAGGATTGGTGCTTGGATCCCTTATACTTTGCCTGAGGGGCACCAGGATAATCATGTTCCAACTTTCTAGCTTCTACTATAAACCCCACACCGTGAACCTTTGACCTTCGCCGCAGCTGGAAAAGTTGCACACTGTGAAGCTTCTCAGCCCAGGGACGGCTATTCTTACTTCACCATGTTCGTGAGAGCCCCAGGATTTAGGCGGTCTGGGGTGTACGGGCTGTATAGGAATGGTCTCACGAGGGACGTAACCAAGTTATTCCTGGGATTCAGGGTGAGGCTTAGGTTTGGCAGGGTAGGGTTTTGAACGGTTAGAACTCGAGACCTCCTCCTAGGCCTTACTACAAAGGGAGTTCAGGTCCGAGAGGGCTTTGGACATATTTAGGCACCTCAAAGAGGGGGTGTGCTGGTGCTCGAAGTACCCAGACCGGTGCGTTCCCGGAACGGTGCAATCCCAATCTGTTCAGGTCTGTTGTTTGTGCGCAGGTCTTCAATTCCAACTGTCCCTGATCCCGAAACGTAGCGCAAGCAGCGGCTGAATCGAAACTCCGAGCACCCCAGGTAACCCTGGAGGCACTGTACCTGCTTCTGAAGCAGTATCAAGCAGACGTGGTTCTGATCAGCTCCACTCTGCTGCTGAGGCTCGGCCTTGCCGCTTCTAGCTCTAGCCAACACACAGTCTCCGTTAGAGCTTTGCGCGTGAAGGTTGGTAGCTGTGGTCAGTAGCCTTACGTTGGTCGGCTTCGCGAGTTTCCTGCTGGGAAACACAGAAAGCCGGCTTGCGGTTGGCTTGGCTTTTGGTGTTTAGCCTGCTTTTGAACTCGAGTCAGGTTTCGTGAACTGTGAGTGTGGATAAGACAATGCCACGAGGCATGGATCTGTAGCTGGACACCTGAAATACTACAGTAGCTCCATAGTTGGACCAGTCATACTTACAACGCTGCATGCCAACTCTCACTGGCCTTCCACTAGATCTGCACTTACCGAAAAATCCCATGGACCTCATTGCGAGAATGCATGCGGTTCATGTAGGAGGAGCAAGACTTAATGACTGCGATGTATGCACACTTCCCACACAGATGTATGTACAGTGGCACACTGCAAGCCCCGAAAGCCGTTTCGTTCCCGATCTACCGTCTCAGGGCTACTGGAGACCACTCGGAAGCCTGATGCAGCCTAAACCCTGAATCCCTAAATCCGTTAATGTTGACCGTTAATGTCGAGGTTCAACCTCAAGGGTTTAGGGCTTAGGGTTTCGGGAGTTTGGTTCAGGCTTAGGGAGAACCCGAATCCCTCAACCATAATTTGAGGTTGACCTATAACCCTTCAGTTGGCAGGCTTGTTGGTGCCTTGGACAACGACCGCGACGCCTGGGGTGGCTTTAGCAGCTTGACGGTCAGTTCAAGATATGTCTGTCAGTGTTGGAGCACGACGACCGCACCTTCACCTTCAGCTGTGCGTGCCAGCGGTCTGTCTGGAGCCTGCCGCAGTCCACACAGCCGATCCTGATAAGCAAAGCAGCAAAGTTGAATCCCATTGGAGCCTGCTCAGCTCGTTCCCTTTTAGCGCTTTGCTCTGGCACTGCTCCTTATTGTTACTCGCCGGATGCAAAAAACTGTGCTGCAAGTTTCGAGGTTGATTTATGTGAGCACTTACATCTGTTGTGGTCCTGTTATCATGTTAGATTGCTTCGAGGACGACCATGACCATGACAATGGCTATAACGATGCTCAGGCCAAGGCAAGGCTGGTACCGCTCCTGAAGCTGCTGATGCAGAAGGTGGTGATGTTTATAATGATGAAGATGATGATGACTATCATGAAACGATGAGTATGATGATGGTGATGATGTTTTGGGGTTTGGTTTGCATGGTCTCCTACAGTATCTCTATCTATAATCTTTTCTGTCTTTGTCGACAGGAAACAAAACCGGTAGCTAGATCAGAAAGTGCAATGGAGATCTACTTGTGCGCAAGTGAGTGTCGAAGTGTACGATCTCGACACAAATTATGCAGTTTCTGTTCGTGAGGCAGTTTCCGATAAATGGACTGTAGTGCCTCAAATTGAAGCAGAGGCGTGTCTGCTTCGAGCCTGTCACAGAAAAATCGTAGTGTTGTGGGTCCATGTCAGGGCCCCTACTCATTCCTGAGTCTTTCAAGGTCGAGACTCCGTGGAAATACGATGAGCCCCAACATCTCAATCCTGAGCCTCAAGGAGCCAAACCCGAAAGCCCTGAAGGCCTGAACACCATTGCCTCGACCTTTCACTCCGAAGTCCAAGACTTCCCCTAAACACTTGGGAGACCCAGGCAACTCTGTTGTCCTGTCAGTGGCCGTTCTGGGCATTGTCTCTGCTGGGGTGCACCACACCGGGGTTATCGACTTTCTTTTCATGCGTCCCTCGAGTGCTTGATAGTGGCATGCAGGATTTACGATCGGTTTTGGGCAGGCAGAGTGTAGAGTGTTTAAGCATGTTTGGGTTTTCCTCTAGAGGTCTGCCATTCTTGTGTTGGTTTGAAGCTCTTCTGAGAGACTCTAGAGCGGTCCTTTGAAAATCGGGCTCGGGATGCAGTGCAGTTGGTGTTTTTGCGCTTTACAGCAGCAGATCACCCGCAAGAAAGGAGACCTTAAAGTAGACATTGGGGACTATGATTGAAAGGTGGGTTTGTGGTCGGTTGCTGAGAATTTGGGGCTGGGGTTGAGGAATTTCGGCTTAGGGGTTTGAAAAGACTGAAGTAGTAAGACTGAGTTCGCAGTTTGGGTCCTAGGGTCTACAGTATGCCATGTTATGATCACGACGTAGTTGGACCTGCCATAAAGACTGGTGATGGCAGCACCGTTTGCAACAGCACCATCCACTTCCAGCAGCTGTGGCCCAGGAGTCAACTTTATCATGAACCATAGACCGAAGCACAAAAAGAAGCCCGTGAGACCCTCCCTAAACTTTACGTCATGACAGCAACGCACTGCGAGAAGCCTTATGTCAGGGCCTAGCCCAGTCCGCAAACACCCCGAAATCCCGAAATCGAGAGCTTGTTTTGGTTGTTTAGCCGAGGAGTCCTTGGCCATCCGAAGACCTATTTCTTCGCGATCCTCAGGTGGGCCGGAATGAAGGGGACTTCAAAGCTGTTGGAGCTACATTGTTGAAGGGGTTTTCGGATGTTCTTGGACTTTGAAGTTTCCTTTGTGTGTGTATACCTGCCTCACTATCGACCCTACACATCGAAACCCTGAACCTGAAACTTTGAGCCCTAAATTCCCAGACGTTACCCGCCGAAACTTGAAGACCCTGGAGCCCTACACCCCCGAGACTAAATCCCGACCCCCTGAAGCCCCATAGCCTCTTCTGTGCTTCCTGTTGGGCTAGAGGCTTTCTCCGTGGTGGTGTCCTGGGTTGTTGAGGGCATATGTACATCGTCGCTCAAGACTACTCGAAGCTCACAACCGAAGCCAACCCTTGTCCTTAAACGGGCTTCGGAATCCTCACGTTTTGGGCGGGGACAAGTTTTCGAGCTTTACATTCTGATCTTTGCGGCTTAGGGCCTCAGGGTTCAGACTTTTGGCTTTTTGGGGTCTTTGACGATTGGGGTCTAAGATTCAGCGTGAAGATTTTTGCTTTTTGCGTTCTAGGACCTAGGTTCAACATGTACGTTTCCGATCTTTGCCGTTTGGGGTTTAGGATTTCAGGGGTTTGGGCATTAGTAATTCCTTGGGTTTCTCCAAGGGTTCTGGCGTTTTTGATCTGACAGTTGCCACGGTTCAAGTCAAGTCGCTCGACATTCGAACTGCAAAAGGCTAAGCCCTAGAATCTGGGCCATCAAACCTTTGAAGCCCCACCGCGGCCGTAGCCGGAGGCTGAGCTTACCTGCCATGCCCCTGGCCACCAGCATCTCCAACACATGCGTCATGGGCGTCACCCTGCCTGCAGATAGTGGGGCGTTGGGTTTCGTCTGGCGGCGATGGCAGTAGCTCCAGAAGCAGTCGCGGTAGTGATTTTGTAAATGAATGGATTGGTCGAAGTTCTGAGATTGTACATAGCAGCCCCTGTACTCCGAAAGAGGCAGGCAATAAGTGGCTGCTTGGTAACTAACCGACGCTTAAGTCTCTAGTGAGTCGGGTGTAATGTAGCATGTAAGATGTGACGGGTGACAGATTTCAGCGAAGCAGTCGCAGTCGTTGGCCGTCTCCTCGTCCTAGTCGTCGTCGTCGTCGTCGTCGTGTCATTACTGTCATTACTACTACTGCTACTACGACCACTACGGCTGCTGCTGCTACCGCTATTACAGCTACTGCTGCTACTACTACT